TTACACATTACAGGAACTGCAGTTTGACTTTAAAATGCTAACCTGACTGCCTTGTATGGTTTCTTACACTAAGGTTTGTGGATGAACATCAACCAATCTGATCAACAAACCATGTAATGGGAAGGGAAGTCTTCGTAGCAGACTATTTGGAGAAGGGTGGGCACTTTCAAAAAATAGTTCTAAGGTGATTTGATGAACCATTGGTCTATCACTGTCTATAACAGACAAACTTCCACTTCAGCATACCAAATAACGTTGTCAAACTCACACAGAAGCCAGTCGGGAGAAGAGCGAAAACATCTTTTCCATCGAGAAAAACCTTCAGTGCCGTTCTTTGCTCTTCTTTCAATGAAGAAGTTCTGATATTACTGATGCATCTACGCCAACCTCTTAGCAGCCGCCATTGTTGTTTTTGAGCGGTCGCTTCACACACACGCTCATGCCATAGCTGCTAGCAGTTCCTCGCTGATTGGTCAGGCACCAATGTGGTTGGACACTAGTGCGTAGCTTGAAGCCCGGCAGTACAGATTCTCACGTGATCTCATGATTATGTGATCCAGCCAAAATTCAGCAACACTGCTTCCCCCTTCATCATTTCCTTGAGAATATCTTGGAACAAATGTGACCTGATCTGCCTGGGAGGGATTCAGTTTCTTGCTCTAAGGCACTTCAGCAGGGGGCAACACAATGCTCAAACCCATTAAGTCCTGGTGAGGAACAGCCTCAGTCTCTCCAGAGCCACTTGTAACTGTCGTACAATGAGGTATTTCATCATATCATGGCAAAGCTGCGTCGTTTGACAAAACCATTTATCTTTGTTTCACGCATAATTTGTTCAGAAACAAAAAATAGCTTCAAGCAAGCAGAAAACTTTTGTAATATTAAGGAAGTTTGTGTAAATTTGACAATCTCCAGATGTGATTTACAGTTTTATAATTTCAAAAAAGCAAGCTGTCTCCCCTTTTCTCTAAGTGTCTCTCCCTTTGTTTTCACTTACCTCACCCTTCCTTCTACACCCACAGCACATCATTTTCTTCCGTCTCATTTGTAAACAACTGAATATGCACTCAGTGAAACATTTGAGAGTAATTACAGCAGCGCGGACCAGCCGCTGGTCATCCTTAGCTGCCTGTTAAATGGAGCTTGCAGTTTGATTGAAACGACCACAGTGACGCAGAGGCTATTTATAGTCAGGAGGCCTGAATTACCATGTAGAAGGGCTGTTATGCAACATGCACACTCTCCCACATACATGCACACACACATTCATGCAGATATGTAGTGCGAGGCAAGCACAACAAACACGGGGGAAAAACGGGTTTCCTATTTCGACCAAATTTTGCACCCTTCGCACTTTTACCATAAATAATGTATGTGACAACATATAGGATAATAAGAATGTATTGCAAGTAATTATAGTTTAAAGCATATAACACAAAAAATCTGTATGTACAACTTATTTGCAGTAGCAAATATGTTTTAAAGGAAATGTACTGCCGCCCTGGTTTTATGTTTAGATTGATATAATGAGGAAATTAAAGAATCTGCCAAGTTGCACAAATGTTGCAACTGAACGCATCACTATTCATTTGTTTTTCTGCCCAAACATCCAATATTGGAAGACAATATCTGCCCGTAGTGACTACAGCATTATTCAACTTGATTGAACTTGAACGATTATATTTAGTTACTCTCAGGTTAAGGAAAGATTGTGGTCTTGGTCCAAAGTGACTTGAAGCATGAGACACAACTTTAAGTTTATTTATATTCAACTGAAATCACAGTCCTTCTCAAAACAGAAGTGCTAAACTTAACCTCTGCCTCACTACAACGTACCTGGGAACAATTTAGTAATATATAAACAACGTTTTCTTACACCTTTTAAAATCAAGAAGGCCTCAAGACCCCCATGAAGCTTAGGCGACCCCTAGTGGGAGTCCCGGCCTCCCAGGTTGGGAACTACTGTTCTTGGAGAATACCTGTATTTTGTATTTCTTATTTTACTACTCCACTGTTTGTGTTTTGGTGATATGCATCCAGTCAAAATGTGCGTGGACATCAGATCCAATCCAATCCAATCCAACTTTATTTGTTAAGCACTTTAAAAACAACCAAAGTTGACCACAGTGCTGTACAGGAGAATAAATAAGACATCATATGTAACAGTGATGGTGATGATGTGACCACTGTGAGGAACATGGTCTGGGATAAACTGGGTTCCGTGGCACAAATGGAGTCCGGGGTGTGTCCGGGCTGCGACGCCTTCGACGTGCCCGGGACCGCCTGTTGTTTTGCACGACGTCCCCCTTTTTGTGGGTGCTGTCCCTGTCGGCTTGAACCGTCAGGAAGCCGGGAATGGTGACGTTGGAGTCCACTATCTGCTCGTGTAGCCACGTTTGTAGGGTTTAAACCTCCTCTTCTTCAGATGGTTGACCCCGTGACTTTAAGAGAAAGCTGAATTATATCTGACACAGTTTATTGTTGGAATCTCAGACTTCGCTCTAACTGGGATTTACGACTGAGACAAAACAAGAAATAAATGTGTTGCTGTGTTTGCGATGCAGCGCCACGTTTTCAGAATCTTGGGGTGATTTCTCAGCCTCATCAAAGTCCTCAGAGTTTCGTTCTCTCCACTACTGTAGATCAATAACTGCTGCCACTACTACTAAAACAGCTCCAGGCATCGATCGAGCTGTCCAAGACTGCAGGCAGCTGCGATGTGAATTCTATTTTTAGGTGGACGTTCCCTTCAGAATAAAAGGTTAAGCAAAGGGCCGGAGGATATGTTGTGCTAAGCTCCAAATTTAAGATGACAAGTTAGCTAGCTCTACCATTCCAACACACATTTGGGAAAATAGAAACTGCCAAAAAAGAAGATATATTTGAAACTATATAGAATATATATGCTCCGTTTCTTTATAAAATGATAGCACATGAATCAACCGTGTACTTTTTTGGACCTTAATGCTCTCTGCCTCAGGCTTTATTGTGTCACATGGAAAAATTTGCTTTTGTAAAATAAATCTCAAGGAAGTAAACAACTTTATTTATGTAGAACTGATCAAAAGAGTAGTTACAAGGAACAATTTTGAAAGATTATTGAAATATGACCAAGTGTAATATGCAAAACGCAGGAGCTATAATTCTTTGATAAAGATAGTATTATAATAAAGTACTGTAGTGCTACAGAGATTCCCTGGCCTACAAATCACGTTCTCAAGATGTAAGATAAACTGTTTGTTTGATACAGAATACTTCATCATGATATTAATAGGTTGTTTTTTTGGTGATAATTTAACTTGCGATATCTGTCAAAATAATCACAATATGATGTTTTATATCGTGCCGCCCTAGTTACGAGTGATTTACAGAAAGAACAAAAGACAGACGTCAACATAGAAACAAAGTGTACCAACTACATATATCGAGTGAAGAAAAAGCCAGAAGCTAAGATAGTAAAATAATGTTGTAGTACTGTAGTGTGTTCAGGCTGCTGGAGCTTCATTGAAGATTTCACTGTAAAGATCTGCCTGAGGCACTTAATGCATTCGGATTGCTCTTGTGCTACATACAGGCCAAAAATGAAACGTTGTGCAGCTGCATTGATTCAAATAAATATAACAATCAACTGTCACATTTGACCCCGTTCAGAGTTTATCACTTACAAAAAGAGTCACTGCAGCACATGCTCACTTTGTCTTTGTGGTCGTTCAACAGGTAGGGAAAATATTTCTGTTTGTGTTTGTTTGACTCATCTTTCTAGACGCTTTCTCCACCCACGGCTTCATTTTCTGAGACATCCCCCCGCTGGCCTTTCCTACATCTCACATTAACACTGCCCACTGTGTGGCTTTTTGGAAGGAAGTAAGACTGAGTGTGTCATGAGGTCTATGTTTAGTAATAAAGTGATAAAAGGGTCCGGATATTCATGCAGATGGTTGAAAGAGAACTTTTGTATAATCTCTAGCATTTAGGGTTAGGTCATAATAAAAAAACTGCTGTGGGGATCCGTTCAGGTCAGACAGAGTCAGGGTGCTGCTGTTGTGTATGCTGGCTCACTGGAAAGGCTCTGCTACACTAAATGGAATGGACCCTTCATTAGATTAATCTCTAACGCCTGTGTTTACCATTCCATGTCAAAATAGCTGCTGTGAAAAAGGTCTATTAGGGATGGGGTAATACACTGGATGTGTGTAACAGCTGCCAGATATATGAAATATAGAGATTCCCGAAGTCCAACCTGTTTCGGTGTTTGTCAGTGTTACATTATGAGTTCATTAATGGTTGTCTTTAGAAAACTATGTTTCCAGTTGGTTTGCCACTAACCTGTCGTGAATGGACCAGGTAATCACTGTGTTGTTGACCCAAGGTCCTTATTGCTGTGTTTACTGTGTGCTGCCAGTTAATGAGTTCATACCAAAAGTGCAGAGAATTTGTTTAATAGTTCAGTTGATTATACAACTTTGGATGTCAGAGTTCAGCAAAATTCTACTTCATGGAAACGCTTTGTGCTGATTCACTTCTCCTTCATGAACAATTCCTCTCATAGCAATTATTCAATTTAATGTAATGTAGTGCAGTGTGTGCTGACAGAAGTGCTGATATGCCCCTGTAGAGCAGTACAGTGTGGCTGTTCATCACTGTTAATGTTTAACCTGGACCACCAGCTTTCTCGAGCAATGAACAGGTGGTTTTATTTGCTAAACCTGGCATGTACAATACTCACTCTTTTATTTGAATGTGCACTTTTTATTCTTTCCTCGTTGTTAACTTGTCAACTTCCTGATATGTTGTTCTGATTTCTACTGTGGTGTTGTTCACACTGTAGACTTACAGTACCTACCACGCTATACAACAGACTAACTCCAGACTCATGATTGTATGAACATTACAAGGGTCAACTGAACATGAAAGGTTGATCATATTTAGCCCTTTAAAGTCCGTAATGCTAAATTTGACAGCGCGTTACATTCTTAAAGTGTCTGCTTGTGTGTTGACAGATGGTATGTTTGGGAGGTGTCAGTCTGTTCCGGTGAAGGAGGTTTACACCTACGATGTCTCCCCGTCTGTGGTCCAACGCTTCAGGACACTGCTGGAGAAGCTCTCTAACAGAGGTATACACACACACACACACACACACACACACACACACACACACACACACACACACACACACACACACACACACACACAGTGACCCTTCCTAACTCTCTGGCTGGCTAACTAGCACGTTTTGATAAGATTAGCTCAGTCTCAGCTGCAGCAGAAAGGACTGAGAGGCAGAGAGAGCTCGAGGTGAGTCGACAAAACATCCAGCAGAGAATCCAGGACAGAGAGAAAGATGTGAAGGAGCTTCAACAGGAGGTGGAGGCTATCAATCACTCTGCTGATAAAGCAGTGGAGGACAGTGAGAAGATCTTCACTCAGCTGATCCGTCTCATCCAGAAAAGAAGCTCTGATGTGAAGCAGCAGGTCAGATCCCAGCAGGAAACTGAAGTGAGTCGAATCAAAGAGCTTCAGGAGAAGATGGAGCAGGAGATCACTGAGCTGAAGAGGAAAGACGCTGAGATGAAGAAGCTCTCACACACAGAGGACCACACCCAGTTTCTAGAGATTTTACACAGTGACTGAAGTGGATGCTCTGCTTTCACAACAACTGAGAAACAGAGAGGAATTCTTACAGTATGCACGCCAAAACACAATGGATCCCAATACAGGACACCCCTGGATTATGTTATCAAAGGGAAACAATAATTAACTATAATTTTTTAGGTTTTCATTCCTATCAAGTCCTGAGTAGAAAGATTCTGACTGGAAGTTGTTACTGTGAGGTGAAGTTGGATGCATTAGTCAGAATAGCTGTTGCATACAAGCATATTTGCAGATCAGGGAGCTATAATGAATGTGCATTTGGACACCATGACAAGTCTTTATATTGTCTTTGTACTACAATGTCAGTTAAGCCGACTCTCGAGGACGTAGTAGGAGTGTTCCTGGATACTGAAACTATGACTCTCGTCCAGACAGTCACTCAGCCCCTCTATGATGGCCTTCATTATTCTGAAGGAGACAATGCGAGGTGTGTGAGCTGAAGTAGACAGGGTGTTTTCTAGTGGCAATGGGTTAGATTCTCTTTTTTGATTTTTAATTTTTGTTTGTGTTTTTGTTTTTGTGAGAATCACATGGTTGCATGCACCAGATATCAGCTGTCACTCAAGCTGTGTCGTCGTCATTGTATTATCCTTTGAGATTTGAGTTTCTGCAGGTGGCAGTCACAGCCTGGGGGTTATTACTGCTCATGCTAACAATGTAGCGGTTGGGCTGTTGATTCCATACCAGAAATGTTATTGAATAGAATACTAAGGAATGTGTGACTGCAACCTGCAATACAGATTAACCAGGGAACAGAATTATGCTTTTACATGAACTGTGATCTCATTGTAATCATATCTTAATCAGTGAGGGAGAGGAGGAATGTTAAATTGATTTATTTGTTTGTATTTGTGTTGTGAAGTACAGAGAACAAAAGTCTTTTTAGCAATTGGATGTCAGAAATGTACAAATATGGTAAAATTATATCAAAGTTTTTATATCAAAACCTTAAAGGTGCAAGAGAAAAGAAAAACTCAAGTGCAGTCTGCACCAGTGGACCAGAGTTTTTATTGAATGTAACTATATGATTTAAGTGAAAGTGAAAACCAATTCTCAATTAATTAATCGATTTATTATAATAATAAGTTTGCTTGTTTTTGGCAGACATTTGAAGCCGGGCTTTGTCATTAATGCCGCTCTCACAACACAAATGCATCACTGACACAATCCAGTTTCTCCAGTTGTTGATAAGGGAGGTGAGACTAGTCCAGGTTTATATAAAATCATTTCCCAGTGCTTTGACCTATTGGAATCCAATTTTTCTCTTTTAATACTTTTATTTCACCTTAATTGTCACTCTTTAACCCTCCACCCTGTCTGACAGTATCACATACAGCATATGTTCTGTACGGGAACCTAAAGGAAACCTCTGTGGGTCTGAACGCCGTTTGCCTGCTAAGCAGGAGTTAGTGTCTAATGGGTCACAGGTTTGAAGAGATTAATTGGACCAATGAAATGGCATTCACACAACTGTTCACCTCTCACTGCATACTTACTAACTTACAGTAGCATACAGCAGTTTATCTCACAAAAGACTAAAATAGGAATAGATGAATAATAAAGAATCTGAGTGTGAATTAAGACTTAAATAAATGTGAAATGTTGTTTGGATTTTAAGTCAGGGAAATTTTTAATAACGTGTGCAAATATTGAACCGTGATCAGTTGCTGCTTATCACTTTTTCTGGTGTAATAATCTGCTGTTATTGCACTGTACCACTAGAGGGAGGCAGAGACCTGTGTGACAGCCCATTGGACATCAGTGAACATTTCATCAACTTTCATCATGCAGGTTTGCTTTGAATAACAGAACCTGGACTACATAGGAAAAGACTCTCCAGAGTTTAGCGTTTTCATGACTGCACCGGCTGAAGAGAGAATGATGTCAGAAAAGTACAACACTTGTTTTGTGAGGAGTTTACTCCATTTAATTCTTTTCCCACCATCTTTTCTTTTGAGCTTGATTTGGTGGCCCTTCCTCCCTCCCCCTCTGCAAAACAACAAAAAACAAACAAAAAAACCCTGCTCCTCTGGTTTAATTCGCCGGATCGGCACACTGCGGGAGAGCCGGAGAAATATTCAGATTTCACAGAGAGGCGACGAGTTTGGAGGCATTTGTCAGGCGCTCTGAAGTGAAATGAATTATGCAAATGAGATGTTTGGCCCCGGCTGTCTGCAGAAGCCATTAGGGAGGACAAAACTCTAAAGACACTGAAGCATCTGCATTTCAGACCCTGCCAGTCCACTGAAAAGATAACAGTTTGCTCTCTCCTTATCTCCTTATATTATAAACACACACATAAGCATCAACTCTTTCTTTCTTTCCTTCTAGTCTATGGAAATTCAATGGGCACTGATGTTCGGCACCGGTGTCCGCGTGTACTTGTGTGGACAGTAAAGCAATAATTCAACCTTTTGGGAAAAACGCTCATTCACTTTCTTGCTGGGAGTTATAGGAGAAGATCAATACCACTTTCTTCAATGTGAAAATACAGGGAGACTAGCTGTTTCCCACAGGTTCCAGTCTTTATGCAATGCTAAGCTAACTGTCTGCTGGCTGCAGCTTCATATTGTTAGACAGATTGACATGGTAGCGAACAAAGTGTACTTCCCAAAATGTCGAAGTATTTCTTTAAAGTAAACATGTAAAGGTTAGGTTTAACAGTGGGTCTTCTGTTCCTATTGTTGGCCTTTGTTTCTGTCAGTTATAATCACATTGTACTCAAACTCAACCCCAAACCCAGAGAGTGGAAGAAACACAAGCAACCAGCCGATCAGACAGGTTGGAAACAGTTTACCCATTCTACAGAGTTTGGAGACACTGAAAGTGAGAGCACTTGAAATGTAGGTAATAGTCCCTTGTTGTGTAGGTGTGTGCACACAAATGAAGTGAGGCCTGCTTGAACTTTGACTTTAGCTCCAGTTCGCTGCTACTCTCACGCGACATATCAAAATATCCAACGCAACCTTATGGTGGTTAATGTACGCCATCCGTGCTCTGCTCGCTCTTTTGCTGCTTTGCCTGCTGGGACATAGCTCATCACATTTCATGTAACACCTCCATGAGTGCATTAACCTGTAGGCTCTTCAGACTGCCAGCCCAAATCTGTTTTTTTTTTTTGAATATCCAGATTGTATCCACACTGACATGAGAAAGTCCAGACAGCAACATACTACATGAAATTCAACCACATTTGGAGGTGGTTTGAAATGCATTTCCAATCGGATTTCTGCAGATGCTTCTCACTCCAGATGCTTCGGCCGCTCATATCAGCGGAAGGGCATCAGAGCGGCTGAGCCCAATCAGGCTGCTACTGTTATTGACACACAAATCCCATCTGATCCCTTGCAAATAACAGTGCGAACAGTCTGTCTTAGAGGTCTGATCTGCAGTCTGAACAAATCTTCGTCAGACATAAAAAGAGAAAAGAAACTAATTCTCACAGCAAATGATTGGTATTTATGGTTATAAATAACTTTTGATCAATAAACAATCAGTTATCAAAATGCTAATAATCGTAATAATTCACTTGATACTCAATTCCACATGACTGAATAAACTACGGTAATTAGAGTAGGCAGTTTGGCTAAATAGGAGTTTGTTTCCAACCTGTCTGATTGTCTGTTCCTTGTCCTGACTCATTTTTAGATGTGTCTTGTCAAAAATCACAGTGAACAAAGTGTTATTATTATCGATGGGAAAAACTGCGTCAAAAAATAAGACCCAAGTTGTAATAATCTGGAGCTATCCTTTAACATACTGTTGTCTTTCTCTCTAATGGCTTACACTTTTCAGACAGCTGTTGCTGCGATTGTGTTCGCCCCCTTCCGTCCGCCCACACACACACTCAGAAACACATTGGGCCCTCCTCCCACTCTCACAGCAAACTAAATACCCTGCAGATGTGAAGCCATTTAAAAGCCAAGGTCAGGGCAGCTATTAGCCCACAGCGACGTCCTCTTCAGTTGGCACACAACATCCAAACCCTACTTGACCTCCCTGTACCACCTTTCAGAGACTTTAAAGACGCAATCTGTTGTAATATTATATTATCAAGTGTCTGTTTGTTTCCTCTGCAACAGTGATTCACTACAACTGTGTCAGTCGACCAAAAGACATGCAGATAGTTTGGGTTTAAAGATATGCCTGTGACCTGTGACCTATGACCTGTTAGATTTCTGCCTCCACCACAAGACAATAAAGGTTGAACGTTTTAGTTTGTGGTGATAAAAACTTAAAGTTACCAGAAGCAACATCCTGTTTCTAATCCTAAGACCCTGCTCTCAGTAGTTTCCACTGAAACTACGTTATCGATCAAAGTAAGGTCTGTGTATCATCCAGAGTAATCCAGATACTATCTTCTTGTTTTCATCATGTGACCTAAGTATGTAGTAACCCCTGCCTCCGTTCAAACATTTCTCTGGCTGACCGTTGACTCCTGGTCAGTGACCTTTTCCAGTCGATGCTGTGGACGGTTTTGGTCTACTGTAGTTTTCACAGAAAGCTGAAATAGTCTTTTTCATTCAGTCTCTTGTCCAGGGTTGAAATTTCATTGTTGAACTTCTGATGGAAAGTTGCATCAAAGGTGGCATCAAAGTCAATGCAGCTGAACCAGTTATATATCGCCTACATTACCCACAGTGCAACTGGGCTTGATCCACTGCATGTTGCACACTGACAATCAAAAATGAAGTACAAGAACAAATGCAACCTCATGCACCCACACACAGAGCTATGCTGGAAAAAGATTTACATATCGTGTAGCTTTGACCATGGAGTGTAAGGTACAGCAGTCAGTGTGCACATTTCTTAAAAACACACAAAAAGACAAGAAGAAGACAAACATTTGGATCTGAGATGCCACAAACACCCAGTAGAAGTTCACTTCAACTGCTTGTATGAGTTATTTTTGGACTAGTCATATTGTATGGGGAGTTTTACATGGACCAGACAAACATATTGTGTTGCTAAGGTGTCAGGATTGGTTAAAAACAAAACTTGTCACAACTTTTTTCCCTGCTAGAAGCCTTAATCTGCTCTCTCACCTTGGTTGCTTTGACACTGCAAACAGCAGTGAGTGTGGTTGCGCTTCGGGGTTTGGAAATTAGATTTGCATAAGTTGATAAATCATCATGCCCATGGTTATAATTACTGTGACTCTGAATATGGCCGTTGGTGGTTGCATAATTTAGTCAGAATGTGGAAATGGTAGAAGAGAAAACCAGTGGATCTGAAAAAAGAGAGAATGCAAAGCGAACCAAAGCTCCTACAAAACAGTTTTTCTATTCTTTGTTAAGGCACGAAGGCTCTGACCTCTGACCTCCTCGCTGTTGTCTGCTTTTATTTTTGCCCATCTAGGAACTGAAGCTCATTATCTGTTGATCCTTGTGGATTAAAGTACCAGCTTCGGCCCTGAAAACATCCTGTTCCTTCGCCCCTTTTTCACCGCAGAGTCTCATTTAGTCAGCTGTTAAGATGTGGAAGTATCTCACTCAAAGTGCACTTGTACCACGACTGGCCGGCAGCCTCCTGCCCACATGTCTGTGAGAAGCGTAGAGTCACTCTGAATATCCTGGCAGGGGCTCCAACGTTTATTAACCTGTCGTGTCAGATGCCGTCTGTTCACCCGCCGCTAACGCCCGTTTTCTCAGCCACCATGGCTGCCATTAAAAGCTCCGTTTTATGGCTCTTTGATGGCGAAAGCTGGCCTGACACACTGTGCAGCTGTTAAAGAGAGGCTTGTGCCTGATCCGTGGCAGTTGGGGTCGTAATTCATTTTGCAGGGATCTAAAGAAGGTGTCCGGGTGCTGAAATGGTCTGTAACGAGTAGAGCTGATTTAATTAGATTCACTGCTCATCAAGGCAGAAGTGTAGATTCGATTGTTAGAAAATGTGCTGTTGGTTGACCATCTGAAGTATAATGAGATGTTGGCAGTGGTAGAGTCTTGTTCAGGATGACTCATGAAAGGCTATCTGGGTAGAGATGGATATTTAAAGTGGCTATAATCGATATTTTTCTAAAGACAACGTATCAAATAGCAATGTGAAAACAATGTGCAAGCTCGTATGAACCTACAGAGAGTTATTACCTCGGCTTTATGGAGCATTACAGCGAGTTTCAGCTCATTGTTTAGCAACTTTACTGTTTTGGGTCGCTCTCACCCCTCTCATGGTGTTGTTTTTGGCCCCAGCAGGCCGCTGTTTTCAGAGAAAAAGCTCTAAAAGCCCTCTGTACACTACCTGCTCAGCACCAAACAGCAGACAGACACAGTCAGGTGAACATAGAGGAGCATTTAGCAGCTAAAGAGCCATTTCCCTCAGGAGTGTGTAGAGACCAAAAACAACTAAAAGAGGGTGAACAGTGTGAACAGTGGACATGTGCTTGTGGGAGTGTCTGTGTGTGTATTTCTGTGACAGGGTAGACTTTGACTGACCTCAGAACTTACCAACAACTCCAGTTATTTCTGTTGTTTATCTCTCAGTCTCTCTCCTTTTTCCTCCTTTTTAAAGCCTCGGGACAGGCTCAATATTTTCACTCAAAATGAGACATTTTCAACTCGAGCAAATGCGTTTTTGCTTCAATTCATGCTGCTCCGGGCAAACTCGCATCCTCTGATGCCTTTGCATTGCCTTCATATGCAAGTCTCCACTTCTAATATTAACTTTGCCCAACTTAAGCGAGTTCTTTCTCCCTTGGTAGACAATTATATGTTTCATTCTGTTATTATGGTTTGACTTTAAACCCTCCCTCAGTCATTGTACAAACACATACGACTGCTGTATGCTTAAGTTGTGTAATCTTGTAACTGTGATGGTGATTTATATTTTTTCAGTTCAGGTGAAGGATTACATGTCCCTGATGGATACATTAACAAATGAAGACTGCTTTTTAATGTGTGCTCTAATTTTAATTGTGGACCTATTTATTTGATTTATACATTCACAGTATGAACCATAAATGTTATAATAAACTTGTGTATTTTACCAAAGTTCATTAAGAATTGATCCCCCTTATTATTACCTTATTGGCTGTTTTTGCAGGGCAGCTGACTCCTCCTGCTGCTGTTAGAAACAGAGTGATACAAGGTAGCTGAAAGAGATAGATATAATTCACATCTGCAGCTCTCACATGTCACAAAAATTAAGATATATATATGCATTAGCATATAACACTAAACATACAGGACCTGCTGCCTAAAACTATATAACAACAGCAAATCACATACTTATGTTAGCTACTGGTGCAACTGCAACTCTTTATGTCATCATTATGTCAATGTGACTTTGACTTCCATGTGTTCAGTTCAACCAATATCATATCTCTATGAACCAATCATTTTGTTACTGTCAGAATTTGAAACCATATATTTCTGCTCTCATGGTTCTAATCACCCAGCACTCTCTGTATATGTCTTCAGCAGTTTGTATTGTGTGCTGTAACAGAGTGTGGGTTGTCATTTCCTTCTGAAAACTTGAGATATTGGGTTTACAGCTGACAGCAGTGGTGCTCTCGTTCTCATTTTAAGTGTGCGTCCTCTGTGCTGGACCCACACATCCTGTGGCATCACATCTGGAGCTGCAGTCTGTATTACTCGAAATCTTTCAGGAACGTCATCGTTCATCTGCCAAATGCCTCGGTTCATGTTGTGCTTTGCGCGCCGCAGCCATATTTCCGGTAACATTTCGTTCCGCTACCCCATCTGGCGTTGGCGCCTGCTCCTCTGTTCGGTTGCCAAAAAGCTGTGTTTGGATGCATGTTAAGCATAAGAAACAGACGTGAATGCCCAAGCAGCTCATCAAACTTGTCCTTTTGTACACTTGCTGAAATGCAGAAGAGAATTTTTGCTTTGTCACTGATGCTCATACTCTTCACTTGCCAAGTCCAGTAAGTGCACAGGAATGTCTGCCTGACATTGGTACTGAGACAGTTTGACAACTAATAAAAATGTTACCCAGAGGAGAAGTGACACAAATGCCCAAACTGCTCATCAGTTTGTCCTCTTGTGCACTTGTTTCAACAGAGAAGACAAAGTTTTTGCTCAGTCACTGACACAGAATCACTCATATAATAACTGATGTGAAATAAGGACAATGGATGCAGAAATGCAACCAATGATATTGAAGTATTGAACATGAATTATCAGTTGACTCCAAGTGAAGCATTTATCATGTATATAATATGATCAAATAAATATATATATATATATGTTAACATATATCATGAGAAAGATTTTTAAAAAGGAACTTAAAGGTCCAGTGCATAGGACTTATTGGCATCTAGTGGTGACGTTACAACTAACTGAACACAGCTCGTGTCTTTGATGACCTGTGAATGAGTGTAAAAAAAAGCTTCTGGCACAATGCCCCCAGGTCTTTTTGCTTTCTACCACTAGGGGGCATAAAAGTTGAAACTAGCTTCATGACTAGATGAGAGTTTTGGTCAGTCTCAACTATTGAATGGATCTCCATGATATTTTTTTTACAGACATTCATGGTCTCCAGTCTTTATCCGAATTTATCTGACACCTTCATCTGGTCAAAATCTTACTACTTCTGTTGATAGCTGCAAATACCTGCAAAGCTCATTCCCATCAGCCTCAGCTGTACTCTCTGTTTAATGCTAATTAGCAAATGTTAGCATGCCATTGCCCTAAACTAACACAATGAACATGGTAAAGTGACAGTCGTTAGAGTCAGTTGAAGTGTGAATGGGTCTCAAACTGCCCGGGAAGGGATGTCAGGATTATCTGCAATATTAGTGGCTTTTTTTCAAACAGTCTGACTACAGATCAGAAGTCAGTTTAGAATGAAATAATGTTAATGTAAAGTCAGATAAAGCTGTGAGTAGGGTTTGAACCATGCAGAGATCCCATTGGATTTTAAATCAAATGCATTTAACTGCTTTCCTTTGTCTTGGTTGACTGCCACACCCTAACCTCTCTAAGTCTGGTACTTGTTTAATCTCACCTTAATATACAACCATGATGTAAGTTAGTAACTTGTGTTACATAAAGCCACAACCTGTTGTTTTTAAAGTTGCATACCGCTGTGAGCAAGGTTCGAATCTGCGCGGGAAACCCCATTGGATTTCAGGTCCAATGCCTTAACCTCTCGACCATCACAGCTGCTACTCTCTGTTTAATGCTAATTAGCAAATGTTAGGATGCCATTGCCCTAAACTAACACAATGAACATGGTAAACATTATAAATGCTACACCTACATTCTAGCATTAGCATTTTGAGCATTTTAGCACTTTTACTCGCGTCTTTGTCATGTTGGTGATGCAAATATCCACGAGGGCTCATTGTAAACTGTACTGCTTCTCAGGTAAGCGCTTGTACAGTGTATTTCCAATTAGCTCATCAAGCCTGTACTCCTGAACTGTGGCAGGAGGAGGAGAGGAGAAATAGTTTCTGCTTAGTCACTGAAACAGCAAGCCACTCACCAGAGTCTCCAAGGACATCGTGCTGTTGCCTTGTCTCCTCTACTAATGAGTGACCTAATGAGTTTAGGAAAACTACTGCATGCTCAGCAGTTTCTCGCCCTTTCTAGCCCATACTCACTGCATATCATCTGGGCTTCTTTTGTGCATAAAACTCACTTTTTGCGGACCCCCATTGCAGTGTTACTCACAGTTCAATTCAGAATTCGTTCTTTCTATCAGGTATAGACCTGCCTCCAAATGGAAATAATAGAGTTCCTCTATGTTGTGATGTGGTTCTAAAGGTTCTCTGTGTTTCTGTCTGTAGGTTTGACCTGGGAAGATGACACTACTCAGCAGGTTCTATCCAAGGAGTTATCCAAACTGAGGAGGATTCCCTACAGGCCACAGCAGAATGGAGCTGCCTACAACACGGACAGCAGGTCAGATGTTTCCCCAGTTTCCCCATCAGTAGCTCCATGGAGATGTCTCACTGTCCCACCATGGTTCAAAAACTGTTCCGAGGCTGTTTCAAGAAGATATTTTAGACAAGTCTGAAGTGTTAGGCCAATGCAGACTGTTTCACAACAATAAAGACTGAGTTATTTTAAGCCTGAAAAGTTAGCCACCCCACCCTTAGGCTAACTCACAACTAAGGGCCATGTTTCATCAGTGGCCAGTGGCACCAAATGACAAAAAATGACTGATTTGTGTTGTGAAGCTAGCAATGAGAAGGGAATGGAGGTTTATAAATGTAAACTGCCAAAAGGTACAGGAAGTCTCTTCACACGAGTCACAGTTTAGTTAGTCAGATTTTTTTGGTGGCTCTGGCTGAGTGGTGGAGAGTCGAAGGCTTTTAACCTCTGAATGATAATTTACACCTTGAGGGTTTTTGAGGTCACTGGTGGATTGTTAGTCAACCCGACAGTCATTAGAGTCAGTTGAAGTGTGAATGTGAATTAAACTACCTGGGAGGGGATGCCTTTACTGCTTTGCAATCAGAGTTTTCCTTTGTCTGTGTTGTATGTTGACTGCCACACCCTAACCTCTCTAAATTTGGTACTTGTCAAATCTCGCCTTATGGTGCTATCCATTTGTCTCGTGAACTCGGAGCCCGAGTTGGAAAGTGTAAATCTCGCAGCTATCTCGTGACATTTCACCAAGACACACCCCCTTTTGGTCGGAATTTCAGCCGTCCAGCTCGGGGTACCTCACAGTACACCGAGCTAAATGAGGACGAACGTACGACCCGCAAAACAAAGATGGCAGCGCCCATATTGAGATATATTTTCTTTGTATTTGTACTATGTTGGTTGTTTTAATGTCGATTTCAAATGCTCCTACACACTTGTTTACATTGCTGCTTTAGTCCGGTCACCAATTTATGCATTGCACGGTGTTGCTGTGCGTGCAATACAATCTAAAGTTTTGTTTTCGAAAAGTTTTTTGTTTGCTAAATAGGCTAATGTAGCTAACAATAACACTAGCCTGCCACGGCCCTGGTGGCCCCTGGAGGCCCCTGGTGGCCCCTGTTGGCTCGAGAAAAACGCCACGGCACTTGTTGAAATTGAAATAGGCGAAAATGGCAAAATATTATTGAAATGTAAGACTTGCAATAACGGAATTACTTGAAATGTTAGTGTTTCTGTAGAAAAACATTATTATTTCACCTTGAGCTTGTTTAGAAGAGCCACAAGCAATAACAAGACAGCTGCTGCACTTCTTTCCGACTCATAATGCCCAAAGACAACTGGAACGCTGTAAGTGGTACAAGCCAGGCAATGACGTCACGTTCTCGCGGCAGAACAACTCGGGCTCCGAGTTCACGAGACAAATGGATAGCACCATTAATATACGACCATGATGTAAACAAGCAATTTGCGTCTTTGACTGTGTTACATAAAGTTGAATACCGCTGTGAGCAGGATTTGAACCTGCGCGGGGAAACCCCATTGGATTTCGAGTCCAACGCCTTAACCTCTCGGCCATCACAGCTGTAAGACAGTGCTGTAGGGTTCCAATAAGTCTCAAGGCTCCTTGTGGAAACATGACCAACATTGGTGTAATGCTGTAAGCAAGTCCTGTTTACTGTCTGAACCCTCCACAGCTGGCCAATTGTTTCTTGAGTGGGTGTAACTATTAGTTTGTTGGTTTCTGAAAGGTACAAAAGCTGTCCAACACAGTCAACCCAACTCAAATTCTGCGTTCACATCATGTGGGATGGATGGTAGCGATGGGACAGATTCCCATGTTATCGACTCATCACGGTTGTTACCTAAAACGGAACGTCAAACGACAGGAAGTCTGGGGAATTCTAAAGTCACTCAGTCGATCGTCTTACCCTTGGTAACACTTTATTCTCTCTTTTTGGATTGTCTCAACTAGTCATTGGAACTGAGTCAGTTTAATTACAAGTAGCTGGTTTCTGAAAGGTCCAAAAGGGAAGGTAGTGATGGGAAACACTTACCAGCATCCTCCTCAAATGACATCTGGCATGCAGTTTAGAGGATTCTTAAATCACTGAATCTTCACTCTCTCTGTTGTCCCGACTAGTCAGAACAGTAATTGAATTGTTTGCCTAAGCATTTAAACTTGTATCGCTGTGAGCAGGATTTGAACCTGCGCGGGGAAACCCCATTGGATTTCGAATCCAACGCCTTAACCTCTCGGCCATCACAGCTGCTTTGATAGAGAACACAGTTTTATTGTGTGTCTTTGTCAATTAAACATGTTGACCAGATTGTTTCAGTTCTTTTGTTTTTTTATACTTTCATCTGAACTCTCTGTCTCATTCTACTCGTGAGAGCTGCTCTAGCTCAGAAAGCCTTAATAAATAGCTCAGCTGTTTAGCAGGTTTATTAACACGGAGGTTGGGAGGTTGTGGTGTTTAATCCTGTCTTGACCTTTAAAACCAACAACATCTCTGCAATCAGGTCTAATAAAGACATGTATATTGTAGTTAGATCTTAGAGAGGATGTGCCTTCCCAGTAGTTTGTTTGTGGGGCTAAACCAAAGTGTGTTGAACCCAAGATGAACACCCAAAGGTACAAAAGGTAGCACACATAGATTTCCCAGACAAAGTTGACTAATCTCAATTTCACCTATTTATTTTGTCTATGTCAGATCAACATGCTAACGTTCCAGCCTGATGGCCTTTATCTGAGCTCTGTGTGCGCCACCTTTTATACCTTTGGGTGTTCATCTTGGGTTCAACAAGACATTTATATTTTCTCCAGATGCAGCATTTTACCCAGTAGACTGAGTTCAGAACCAACCAATCAATTAGTGAAATAACCCAACTGATGTTGTAGGGTGAAGCCTCAAACGACAACAGCATAATATAAGCAGAGATGAACTGGGGTTTTTATATTGGCAAACAGGGGTCGGGGTGGTAAATTCAAGCAAGTTGAAGTAATGAGCCGTATTTTAGACGAGTACTATATCTTTATTTATATGTATATACTGTATATATTTGTATATTTAGATAGATAGATAGATAGATAGATAGATAGATAGATAGACAGACATAAATAAAGATATAGCATTAGTTTGAAATACTGAAGTGTACAGTGATGTTTTGTGACTATTCCTTCCATTTCCCCCCTTTCTCTCCCACAGGCCGGCAGCTGAAGCGATGGACCCAGTAGACCAGAGGGTGAAGCCAGTGGAGGTGGAGCTCAGCAGGAATCTGCAGACATACCTCCAACGTCTCGGCCTCCTTCCCAAGACGCCGTCTGCCTCCAGCCTGAGCCCCCAGGGCAAGGTGAGGGATTCATGGACGCTCCATTTGCCTCTTTCCTTGATGTTTAATCATTCAGAGTCCTGCTCAAGAGCACCTCAGCAGCAGTCGTTGAACGATGAGTAGGATTAAATCGGAACGTTTAGCACCATTTTCCCAGCACACCACCATGTTTTTCCTTTGGTTGCATTTTAAAATGTGTTCATTAAATTATTGATATTTTGCACAAAAACACATATTTTACACATAAAGTATTAAACACAACATCACCAGACTCATTTTAATTGTTAATAAAACTAGTAGAATACAGAACTCTGCAGGACTAGTAATACAGCTCTGAGTCTAGACTGTGGATGTCAAATAAAAATAAAATTAGGTCTCAAAAACATGTTCCTGCGTACAGATTTTGCTGTATCATTCTATAGTAGGTAGCTGTTCCTTTAATATCTCTGGGTGAATTAATCTGTTGTGTGTAATGTTGCAGATCAGTCAGCCAGACTGTTTTATGGCAATATAGTTTTTTATGATTTTTGACCTTATACTGCATTTAAACAGCCATTCCTATCTGTTTATCTATTACAGTTAATTAAACTTATAGAAAATTAACAATATCACATGATCTGGTGCTATCATGATAAAAAATATTAAATACAGGGTATACCATGGGATGTCAGTGAGTAAAGACTACAAAGCCATCGTGTTTCTTTACAGCTGCCAGCTGCATATTGGAGTTCTCAAGTCAAAGCCTCTACTAATAAATTAGAATATGCGAGATCTCACACACATGAATAAATATCTTCTGTAAACTCCAGCTCCTGTTGCTCCCTGTTTCACATGTGGGGGAGAGCAGGTGGGACATTTGTTTTTACCCCAACGTCTGCATGTACCCTCCGCCCTCTGTTCACAGCCACCTGCCTCCGTTTAAAAAAAAATAATAGAAAGTGCACACACACACACACACACACACACACACACACACACAAAACAGTCACACAAAGACACAAACGCACACACCTTCACAACGGGGAGCCCGGTGTCATCCTTCGTTGTCACTCCGCTCTCGCTCCTGCATCCTAACTGATGGTTTCTCCCAGCACGACCGCTATGAGCGAAATAATACCAGCAGAGAGTTCAGGAGTTCACCGCTCTAATTAATAACTCTCCACGTGACGGGTTCCTCCGCCATGTCCGCTGCTCAGGCTGAGGGGAGCGCGGTGCGGCTGAATGGCAGAGGCCTTTTGCTCCTGCTGGGGGATTGTGCCAAAAAGACTCGCAGAGCACGATGCCGCGGAGCCTGCAGGCGTCGCTCGGGGGCTCGTGGCCTTTTCTATTCAGGTTCACGTGTTTGGTGGAAACGAAAAAGGAGCAGGAGGACAGAAGGGGTCCCGGAGGGCACGAGTGGAATAAACTGCACCGACTGTGTGACATAGATGAATAAAGCTACCGGCAGTGACAAATATCAGAAGGGGCCTCGCACATACAAATCAAAAAGAAGTATGATGACTGTGAGGAACGTTAATGGCGGCATTGTTATGATAATTTTACCGTTAGTCAGGCTTGTTCCATTTCTGTGCTCCTAGGTGGGCGTTAATGGAGCCGGCAGTGACTCTGGGCTTTTGTTGCAGCTGATGGATGTGTTAATATGATTGCATAAATGGATTAATAACTTGTTTTTCAAAAATGGGCTTTATTTTCATGTCAATAATCATTTTGGATGAAAGTCTCAAATATTAAAGCAAAGTGTGGCTCCTGCATCAAAATGTCTTTTAGGCCTCTATGGTTTTACTCATACATGTTCTCTTTCAGATGAATTCTTATCATTTAATTTAGTACGTTGACACGATCTCCTTCAAGTAATAACGCATAAAAATGTATCTTTGATTCTTTTGTTTCCCGTTTTTTTGCATCATCCTGTTTGAATTAATCTAAAAAAAAAAGGTGGCGACGATTGATTGGCGCATAGGAGAGGAGCAGCTACAAAAATAAAATAAAAATTTGTATATATCAAAAACAAAACAATTTGACATAGTTACATAGAAATCTCTTGAATCACTATGTGTTTTTGCTTTTATTTAAAACAGTCTGGTCAAAATGTTTTATTTCTTTACATGTATGACTCAATTTCAATAGTTTTTTCCAGTTATTATGTTTTATCGACCTATGTTACTTTTTAGCTTTGATTGTACAGATTTTATGGATGTGAATCACAAGCAAAAATACCAATGTAGACACTGGCAGACGGGAGTTCAAAGGGTTAATCCATTTTAAACTGTATATAAAGCATTTAAACACTGTCAAATAAATAAAACATCTAACATAAAACTCTTATTTGACAAGAAATAAACAGTTTTTAAAGAATAAATCTGTTGATTTATTAAATCTTACCTATGCTATTTGTTTATTTTTTAAAATTGACATCTATTAGCTGGGCACACATATGATGACCAGTACTATACACCGCATTGCATGATGGTTTGGACTGACTGCACCGGACTGGCAGATGTAGTGCAGGTGAAGCTGCTCGGGCAGGATGACGTTTTACCTCAGAAACATCTCTTTCTGCATTCACATGCACGACAGCATCTCTCCTCATTATTTCAGTGCCATGTTTCAGTTTCAGACAACGAGCAGGTGGGATGTTTGTCTTGTTCCCAGAATTTGCATAAAGTACAGTTCTGTCACACACACTCCTAGACAGACACCAGCTTTGTATTTCTGTATTTTTTATTATTTCTATTATTCCTTTTTTTGGCAGTAGACAGCAGAGAGATGACAGGAAACGAGAGAGAGAGAGAGAGATGGAGAGAGAAACCAGGGTTGCAATTCATAATTCATTCATAATTCTTACTATTAAACATCTAAATTTTGCCTTTGAATGTTCTTGTTGTTACAGTACATTATTTTCTCTAAAGCAACTTCAATCTTCCCCGTGCACATTCTGTACAGTTCTGTACAGTCGGAGCAACTGGTGGTTGTCTTTCTCAAGGACACTACAACATGGAGGAGCTAGGACCGCCAACCCAACCCACTCTAACAGCTTCAGCTTGCTTTAAGGCTGCTTTCTTGGCCACCATAGAAAAATACATTTAAAAATATTTTATTTGAAAATTCTTTAAGTAAAAAACAGAAAACCACCATGTTGTTCATACTAAACATGCACAATACACAATAATAATCATAAACACTCAAGTACGCATTAAAAATCCTCCAGAAATCCCCATTTAATTTTATTTTATTGGATTTTGGTGCCAATACATAAAAATTCTGACTTTAACATCGAAATACTATTATCATGTGCGGCATATTCCTCAGGAGCAGATTAGAAGACATTAGTTAGGACATAATAATCCCATTACTCGACAGTTCTGTTTACTGTTAACTCATTGTGTGTGTGATTGTGTGTACGTTTCTTGACTCTTTCAGAGTGACCGTTTCCAGTCAGGCATCCCGGCAGACTTCTACCGCTCCAAGGCCCAGACTTCAGCTCAGAGGTCGTCTCCCTCCAGCTTTTCTTCTCTTTCTTCTTTCTTACCTGTGCAGAAGCAGCAGAGACCTCCGGCCGACCGGCTCCTAGCCACGCAGGCTGAGGGAGACCTTCTCCTGAGCACCCTGAGGCAGTATCTCTCTGGGCATCTGTCGCTGCACCGCGGGGGCGTGGGCCCCGAGGAGCAGGAGGCGCCCGCGTCCCGCCTGAGGCCGTTCTACAGCAACGGAATAGAAAACTCTGGGCTCAAAAAAGAGACCTCAAAACCCAGGCTTCTGAAGATGGGAAGAACTCAAGGGGCTGCAGTCAAGGACCCGCTGACGTCTGTGGATGGTAAGTGTTCTAAGGGGGCACCAGGAGGGGTTTTAACATCAGAGAATCATGGGGGTGTTTACTGACACGAAGAGCTTCACTGTAGGGCGTGTTATTCACTTTCAAGGCTGTCTAATAATCCATAATCACATACAAACGCATCTTTCATCCTTTAGCTGTGTAACTTTCAGTGCTGGAAAGCACAGAGAGGGTGTGGACTCTTGGCTCTGTGGTCGGTGGCATTGTTGTATTAGATCATTATAATACACGGACAACATGAAAAGGTTGTTTATTTCATTTTAAAGGTTGCAGTGCGGCTGGTTGAGAGCTCAATCAGTGCTATGTTGTATAATACAGGAGCAAGCTGTGAATTTAAAGTAGAGATAACACTGTATTGTGCCAAAGTCGTAATACAAGTCAAGTAAAGCTGCTAAAAACAACTCTAACCATGCTAACAGCAAGTATCAGTGGAAGTCGGGCTATCATGTCAACGTATTCTACTCATTGACGGTATATAATTATTGGACAGAACTTTAGGGTCTGTGAAGTTAAGCCAATACGTAAGTGTCTTAAACCTGCACCGTACATTTAATAACTGTCACACATCTTCCTCAACAGATGTAGTTTTTATGGACATTGTAGATTTTAAACCTCCATTTTTCTGAACATGTAAACCTGCAGTTACTGACAGGTGTGGCCACATGGGGGCGGCGGAAACAAGTTGTGAACAAAACATCATCTTTGAAGTTAACTTTAGTTAGCAATATTCACTTTGTTTTAACTCTGTTTTTGGTCTCTTCCACCTCCTGAGGGCTTTAAAGTGCTCCACCATGTTCGCTAGCTAGACGCTTAATGTGGTGCTGAGCAGGAAGTGTACAGTGGGTTTTTAGAAAACTTGAACACAGCTGACTGCTGCAACTAAAACTCCATTATGAGAGTGAACCACAACAGTAAAGTTGGAGCCAGACAGATAAACTAAGCTAAAAACTCACTAACTCCACGTCTCCTCCAGAGAGATTCATCGAGAAGGTTTTGAAGAACGTGGGAAGGCAACACGTGGACGTTGACGGCCTGACGCCTCAGGACTTGGACCAGCTGTCCCGCCTCATAGCTGATGCTCTGCAGGTGGTCGACCGGGACCAGGGACTGAACAGGGGCCTCGCCCGGGTCAGACCTGGACCGAGAGACCTGAGCGGAGAGCTGAGGGAGAGGGAGGAAGAAGAGGAGCAGGTTGCCAGGGATGAGGAAGAGGAAAAGTTGCTGGAGAGCGCTCCGACACTGAAACCACAGGAGATTACTCCTGTAGTGCCAGCAGCTCTTCAAGGTGATTTTATAGTGATTCCTTTTTTGTTTTTACACAATTAAAGTATTGAGCAAAAGCTGGAGAGCGAGTCGGCGGTACATATATAATTGTGTTGGTGGGATTGAACAAAAGAAAGAGTGCAACATAAAAAAATCAATGTGAACATAAATAAGCGTCCTGTTTTGCTTGGTATAAACACAGCCGGTTTTAATGGTCTGCACTGAGACCACTCAAACTAAAAATGTTGACACTACAGGTAAGAGTGTTCAACAAATAGCTTAAATATGGCTGAAAATAATGGAGGCAGGGTCAGGGGCGAGGCTCACTGATGCAGTGAAGGCTGGTCCGTGTGGTCAGATCCAACTCTTCCATGGTCCATGCCTGTAAATAGATTATTACTGCAGATTGTCTGATGTTCTTTCTGTGTTTAGTAAAGACAAAAATAACAGTTTCAACCTAAATTACTGCAGGAGAGAAAATTCAGTCAAACGTTAAAGAACAATGAATTCCTTAAAATGTGGAAATCTTTTATCAAAGAACGTCTCCTGTTCTTTCTGCCGAACACGCAAATGTATTAATACACCGACTCTCTTTCCCCCGACAGAGCGCCACACGGATACAGAGCAGCGTGATGTGAAGGACGAGGTAAGCATTCAGATTGTTGTAAGAAAAAGCAGTTATGTAATATTGTGCATGAAGGAGGGAGTGAATCCTGCAGTCTATAGCAGAAACTAGTACATCAGGTGTAGTTTTCATAAGGAACATCTGTACAGATGAGACTTTTTAAGCTACTTGTCAGACGGAATCATGGATTAAATTCATTTCCCAAAGATATTATTGCCAACAAGATTAGCAAACTGGTGAGGAAGGCCAGCTCGGTGGTGGGGATGGAGCTGGACAGTGTGGAGGCTGTGACTGAAAAGAGGATGAGAGGGAAGCTGAAAGCCATCATGGACAACCCCTGTCATCCTCTCTACACTGAGCTGAGGCAGCTCAGAAACACTTTCAGCCACAGACTGACCCAGCCCCGAGCCTCAAAGCGGTTTGGAGACTCGTTTGTACCATCAGCCATCAGACTCTACAACGCCACAGCACCCAGTACCTCCAACCCCCATAACCACAGCACCCAGTACCCCCAACCCCCATAACCACAGCACCCAGTACCCCCAACCCCCATAACCACAGCACCCAGTACCTCCAACCCCCATAACCACAGCACCCAGTACCCCCAACCCCCATAACCACAGCACCCAGTATCCCCAGCCCCGGCAGAAAAAGACTGGTTTAAAACTCCTACCTACAACACACAAGCCTTTTGCACTATTTATATTTAATTTCCACTTGTACCGTTTAGTTTTAGTTTTTTAGTTTTAGTCAAGTTAAATTTTCTGCTTATATTTTGCACTCCATGTCCTACTTGAACAATGCATGGTGTATATACTTTAATAATAATAATAATCTTATCTTATCTTAATAAACATTTTGTAATTGTTATAATACTAATAAATCTAATAATACGGCTACTTTAAAATAAAAAATAAAATCCCCAAATGTGTGGTACATTTGGAAAACTATGAACACCAGTACTTCTAAAGCAACTGGAGGAAAGGAAAGTTTATTTGTATAAGACCTTTAAACAACCAGGCAGTTTTAAGTGCTTTACATAAGACATAAAAAAAACATTAAGAAAAGTAACACAAGGCAATATAAAAAGACACATTTGACGATTTAAGAGTAAAATAAAATAGAAGGTAAAAATAAGTATAGTCAATTATTGCAGTGTGAAATATTAACACTCAGTTCTCAAGTTATCAGAACTTATTCACTGTTTTTGTTGCCTGATCTCCGTCTGGTCCTTTTAGAAGAAGTAAAAATCATTCAGATTGTAAACTGGGAACAAACAACGACTTGGCCAGTCTCGGGCTGCACTTTGGTTCATTACATAGCATTAAAAGGTAATAATAATATATCATATAATTTAGCTATATTTCGAACAAGCTGCAGATGACTCCTATCCCCACACATACATGGTTTTGACAATGAATAAGTGTTCGTTTTGATTTAGTTTTACTCTTTTGATGAAAATGTGTATTTATTTTGGTCAAATTTTAGTCTCATTTTTATTTTTATGTCCTTTAAGCATTCGGAGGCTACAGCCGTCCAGTTCTCCGTATAAACTCTGAACCGCTTCTCTCCATCTTTCCTACTTAACTACTGTTAGTGTTAGCATTAGCACACAGAAACTGAGTCCCTCACCTGTTCATTAACCTGTTCAATGTAAGTTAATATGATTCTAGTGTGCACCTTGAGGAAGATTTTTATGGCTGACTGCCGACATTAGACTTGTAACTTAGTCATTCCTCCTGTTAGCAACGCATTAAAATGAACTGTACGTCCACAGCACTCGATAATGTCACATTAGCTCACCTTTTGATAAATGTCAGTGAGCTGCCTGCAGGGTTTCTGTGTCTCATCTGTGTTGTTGCTGCTTTTTGTCTCATTTTCAGTGGATTGTGGGTAGTTTGTGTGAAGAGCCAGTACCATCAGATAACATTACAGTCAGAGAGCGTTATTCAGTGCGAGATGCTTCTTCTTAAAGGTCGTGCAACAGGTCAAGCAGCTTAATCAGCTTCTGAACAAGAGATTTATTTGGGCGTTGGAGGAAACTGTTTTAATAATCATGAGCTTCAGGTCACAGTGTCGATTCCACAGGTCTGCTTGTAGCAAAAAAAGTTATAGTCATAGTTTTCTTGATGAAATTAACAGTAGCATAGATCAGATCAGAGTCAATGCCATATCGAGAGTTACTTAGCTGTGACATACATTGTTAATGGAGACTGAGATGTAATAGCAGTCTGAATTTGTGCTGTTACTTTGGGATTGGAAACAACAGGCTCTTGCTCAAAACATAAATAATGCACTTATTATTGTGTACTCAACAGACCAGATCCCAGGGAACTTGGGAACTTTTCACAATATAAATTGAAGGACAAATACAAATAAAACTTCAGTGTTTCATGTTTCTGATTGTTTCCGATGCCGTTTGTATCTTCGGGTGTGTTGTGCGTCCTCTCTCCTCTTTCTGCTGGTTTTCGGCTGGTTGAAAGGTCTCTCACATCTTTTCCATCTTTCTGATGCCAAGAAACAATTTAAAATTGTAGAGAAGATTAGATTTGTAGATGCTCGTAGAAGTTTAATCAAAGTAAGTTTTTGGCTCAGGTAGCGCTGTAGCTATGCTGGCTTTTGGATCTTGACAAGACGAGCAATTACCCTGAAGCCAGCAGCGAAGGGATAATAGCATATTAAAATCCTATTCAGTATAAACTCTGACAGGTTGGCTGTTCTTGGATTCAGGGCAATTATTTCCTCATGCTTGTAGCTGCAGATCGCCAACACACTGACATCACCACCAGTTCAATTTAAGCTGTTAGACAAAAGATCTTGATTGAACAATGTCTCATTACTGAAGTCTGATGTCTGTCATTATAGAGGTCTAACACCGACTAATTAAGCTCAGGGATGTGCTCAAAGTTCTGAGATTTGAATAATTTGTCATGACATTGAGTTATTTGGAGGTCTTAACTTCACCTGCCAACGACTGAGTATTAAACTTGTGTTCATTTAGAAAACTCACCTCTATATTCAATTCAAACACAGTGCCGTGAGTGGAAAGGGCCGCAAGTAAAGATTATACATTGATCGGTCTTCATCATTTAAATAACAAATGTCAGTTGCAAGTTTCAAGAACACAAAGGTAGAGTTGTCAGTTGTAAGCTTGCTAGCTGTCAGCGTCTAAATGGCAGAAGTTCTTCTTCTTCTGGCTAGCTAGCTAACAGCTCTTGATAAATACATGAATTGTATAAGTACATGGAAAAGGTTTTATCAGTGTAAATGGAGTCTAATTTGATCAAGGACCTGCACACAGGGGTGTTCACTTATTCTGTGTCATCAGACCTCTGCTCAGGTTGAAGTTGAGCAGGTCTACAGTATGCTGGGAACTACATGATGACACAGATAAAGGTGTAGTGTAGTTGTCTCATCCTGCTGTCAAAAATTAAATTCAGTTAAACTTTAAAAACCAAAGGTCCCAACTTCATGAATATAACTTTTGTGCATTATGTCCGTAAACCATTACATAGCATAACATATGCCGTCTACTACAACAATAAACTGGACTGGACGGATCACACTGAGACCCTCTACAATAAAGGACAGAGCAGACTGTCCTTTTTGAGGAGGCTCAGGTCTTTCAACTTGTGAACTCGGCTACTACAGATGTTCTACCAGTCTGTAGTGGCCAGTGTCCTCTTCTTTGCGGTGGTCTGTTGGGGAGGAGGCATTGGCACTGGGGGTGCCAACAAGATTAGCAAACTGGTGAGGAAGGCCAGCTCGGTGGTGGGGATGGAGCTGGACAGTGTGGAGGCTGGGACTGAAAAGAGAACAAGAGGGAAGCTGAAAGCCATCATGGACAACCCCTCTCATCCTCTCTACACTGAGCTCAGGCAGCTCGGTGGAAGCGGTTTGGAGGCTCGTTTGTACCATCAGCCATCAGACTCCACAACGCCACAGCACCCAGTACCTCCAACCCCCGCAGACAAAGACTGGTTTAAAACTCCTACCTACAACGCACAAGCCTTTTGCACTATTTATATTTAATTTCCACTTTAGTTTTAGTTTAGTTTTAGTTTTTAGTTGTAGTCAAGTTTAATTTTCTGCTTATATTTGCACTCCATGTCCTACTTGAACAATGCATAGTGTATATACTTTAATTTATAGTTTTATATCTTCTAATATTAATAATATTAGTAATATTTTTATTGTGATATTCTTTGTTCTCTGTTTTTGCACTACTTTGCCCTATTGCTGCTGTGTCAACCTGAATTTCTCCTAAGGGGGATCAATAAAGGAATATCTTATCTTATCTTACTAACCATAGGATGTGACCCTCTCTGATGTGCTATGTTCAGCGTTATTATCTGAAATGGGCCAGCACTACTGATTTTTGTCCATGAATACCCTTACTTCTTATTGAATTCCCCCACTTCCTGATGCATTAACAACTGTGTAACGATTTCTTTAACGCCAAGAATACAGCACTAAAAATGTCCTTGTTAACATGGATAGAAAACCTGAAAAGAATTAGGTTACAGGCACTTTATTTGGTCCAGTTCACGCACTGGTCAGTGGGTCATTTCTGGCTCCCAGCGGTTCTGTGTTGCTGGTAGCGTAGTTTTGCTGCTCTAGCTCAACCCAGTTAATATTTCTTCACAGTTATTTGCTTGTGTCAGCTTGACCTATATTTAATTTGTCGTCTGTTACGCAGGCAGCCGTGGTGGTGCTGCTTTTTTTTTTTACAGTTTTGTTTTGCAATTCGGTTATATAATCGAATTCAGAGTATTGGTTGACAGGTGCAACAAGACGCCAATCAACACACCCACACAGTCCTGCAGAGAGGTCTAATCAGGCTCAGTAAGTGAAAGCAGCTGTGGGGGAAGATGTGTTGAGGCTTTCAAGGCCTGAATGGACCTTGGTACTCACCTGAATTCTGCACATGGTTAGAAACCGTTAAGGAGGCAGTTTGAAGTCATCTCACAATATTTCTTTGGCTGTTTTGTTCTTTTTAGAGTGGAAACCTCTTCACCAAACTTCTCGCCTACCTGGACAAAACCTCCTTCGACGCCTCTCCCTCAGCAAGAAATCGGAATGATGTCTCAGCCGGAGGTCAGCAGGTGGGTCTGGAAAACGTCCAGAGTCGGACCAGTGAGGCAGCGGTGAAGGTGCAGAAGAAGGACGCGACCCAGTCTGTGGAGGAGGTGTCGGAGGTGGAGGGCTGGATCAAGGAGGTGGCGCCCCCTCCTGCCTCGCTTGTGTACGACAAACCGCACAAGAAGACGATGCACGTTCCCGATCTTCAGCTGGACGTCAAAGCCGGCAGGAAGAAGGCCGACGATGACGTCTTCGGCTACGTCATCACCGACACAGAGTGAGTAGGAAGCCACTGACATACGACGATCTTTGGCAGTCGGGACCCGCAATTTCTTGTTGCTCACACACATTACACTCACATATTGTAATAATATTTTAACTACTGTACTATAAGATATTAGCAACACCTATCAAAATAAAATACAGTTCAACAGGACCACAAACCACAGCGTCCAAAATGATCCTAAAGTTAAAACAACAGAAGTGAGATCAATGAATATTTTCCACTTTTTATAATGATTACCTTACTTATTACTTACTGACAACAGTAATTAGTTACACTACTAGTTATGTTACTTTTCTGCTAAACAAAATTGGTACAAAAATTCCGACTTTGTTCAATTTAATATCCAGTTTTGTTTGTTAAAATCAAAGTAATGTGAATGTTTCCAGCTGCTGAATATAAACTAAAAGTTTCCATTTTCCAAACTGGTTTCCTCCACAAATTAAAGTAATAAGGGGTGCCAACAAAAGTAATTTTTGTTGGTTGGTAACTGTTATATTATGTAAAAAAATTTTTTTTGTCATTTTTTACTTCTGATTCATCATTTATCCACTCACTTGATGTTCATCCAGTGGCTGTGTGTGTAATCAGATCAGATCAGAGCTGTTGTGTCTATAACGGATGAACGCTGACATCTCGAGTTTGATGAATTCAGGGTGAGTGACAAACAAAAACCCATTTAAATATAATTCTAAACTCCACAAAGGTGAAGGTTTTCTTACCCAGTCGCCTCAAAATGTGCACAAATGTTGTGTTAAAGTGCAGATTTGTTTCTGCTGTACTGTCTGTCTGTAGCAATGCATTTTCTTTGCTCTTTGTTTTCAACCATCCACAGTAACAACTAATACTTGATGTTTTGTCACAGTAATGGAGGCAGGAAATGTGTTTTCCCAAATGCACCGCAAATACAAATCTCTTCCTTTGTCGTTGCTCTAAAGGAAAAATATAGTTTTTCATACATCACAAAACAGGTGAACTTCATACTGAGCATGTTGATGTCAAATATTACCCAGGATGCAACAAGAGGACACTGCAGGTCATCTCTTTTCCTTCATTCTCATTCACACCAAGGCCAGAGTAATTTTCACATTGATTTCTCTGCTCCTCACTTTGAGATTGAAGACCTTTTTTAGAAATGGTTGCCGTGGTGTTTGGTTTAGAAACATCTTCATCTTTTAGCCGCTACGCTAGGTGTATTTCAGACTCAAGGCCTTTGTGGCACGACACTTTCTATTCTCTCCTTCCTCCCTGTTGCTTGTCATTCAGGGCGCATATAGAGACATCTTTTCACCAATAGTTGGTTGTCAAAGTCACATCGGGGCTTCAATATGTCGAATGATGGAAAGCTTTTCAGCAGCCCAGTGTGCGGTCAATTTTCCTCCAGACTGAAGTGTTTTTTTTTCCTTGAACCTTCTTTACATCTCTGGTGGTCTTCAAAACCTGCATTTAGTCAGCTATAAAGCTGCTGTACAGTGTATCACCGCAGTACTTAGAATCAAACAGTAGTCAGGACATTGAACCAGCAGCCTCAACAGCGTGATAACGGAGCTTCTATTTTGTAATTTATTTAGATAAATGACAAGTTGGTTTGTGTGTATAAAAGGTGACTTCCAGACATGAAACTGTTGAAATTAAGCAGGAAAGTCAATGTATTTTAGGGAATAGGGATGTCACGACATCAGAAATGTAGTAGTTGATACACTACTGTGAAATTCCACGATCAAATTTAATATCTGCTGATACCGACTCCTGATCCAAGTATTTTCCTTAATAATACAGCTGATTAGCTCTGCATTGTATTAAGGAAATATAACAACAACGTAGGCCATAAAAGAGCCCAACAACCCCTCTCTGTATCCTTTTTTGTGGTCTTGTCACCGTCTGGAGGAAATTTCTGTAAAAGTTTAGGCATATTTTCTCCTTTCTGACACTGCAGTACTTCACAGAGAGCATCAGGGGTCATGATAAAAGTGTAAGCTTAAACGGTGATAGCAGAAGATGCTGCAAATGTTTGAGTATTTCATTGGTTTTTACAATAATGTGGAGGCCAATAGGAATCTGTCCACTAAAATTAGCCTGTTGCAATGCCATTAATCAGCTTTAACCATGCATATTTGCGACTTCAGTCCAGTGGTTGGAGGCCTGTCATAGCATAGCAATTAACATTTTTGCATTGATACTTTAAATAACGTAAAGTTGGTGAAGCAGTGAGGGCTATAAGCTTCATCTCCAAAGGAATATATTGTTTAAAAAATGGTTAATATGGAAGCTTTGTTGGAGCAAACAAAAAGCAGATTTTCCTGGAAGTGTTACAGCAGTTCTACTTTGAGCTACAACTTATATAACTTTATGAAACACACTCCGAGGCCTGTGCTGCTCTGATCCTATGTGAGCAGCTGGAAAGTTTAAGATGTCCTCAGTCACTTTTGCACCGCAGATGTCAGCGTGTCCGGCAGATTCCTCTATAACCCTTTACAGCGACGCTTTAAAGTGCCTCTTGACATTTCTGTGAGATCGCTGAACTTCAAAAGAACACCAAATCTCTCCTTGAGAGAACGAAGTGCGGCATCAACCACAACATGGAAGAATGCCACTCCAGGACTTTGCAATGCACCAGAAAGCTAATAAAAGGCTAATAAAGGTAATAATACAAAGCTTCTTCTGTACGAGAATGGTCTCAACATTCACATCTATTCACCAATAGTGTTTTTCTGAGCCCTTTAACTGTGTGAAAGACACATCCAACAGCAGTGAAGCTGCACGGAGTGCTTGTTTACCTGGTTGACCTGGTAAAAATGTCATACTGCACAACACTACACACCAAAGGTTTGGCAGCCTTTCAGCGAGAGCCTGCGTCAGAGGAGTTGTCTCCAGCTTCCACAAGAGCATCTCTGATTTGTGCTGCCGGGTAGCCGACTGCGCAATCTCTCTCTCTTCAATGTCATGCTGTGATCTGACAGGAAGGTCAACAGGATTCTTCAAAATTGTCAATTTTCAAGCCTTTTTTCAAGCCTCTTAATAAAAGTTTTAACATATGTGTAGAGCAAATAATCTAACAAGCTCTCTCGATGTCTTTTCCATCTCCTGACGACAACAAGAGGAACATGAACTAGAATACATTTGATTTCTCTCTATCTGAAACACCAAAGTCATGAAATGTAGCACACAGGAGCTTTTAATGAAGTTATAGTTAAATGATAAATAAAGGAGGGTGGGGATAAACAAAACAACTAAAATGCATAGATTTAAAATAGGATAATTCAAATTAAGATGAAATAAAGTGAGTCCTTCACTGTTTCAACTGCCACTAAAGATAAAGCTGTTATATTTATTAGCTATTGCATTCATTGTTAAAGTATCTACTGTTGACTGTTGGTAGGAAACACAAGTGACCTGTGGTGTCAACGCTACGTGCTTTCAGTCATCCACCCTGAACTCTGCAATAAGACAGCGGTGGTATAACAATGTCAGTCCACTTCCTGGAGTCTCTGCTGGTTGTAACGACAAGACTCCAGGTAGTTACCGGGGCTGGCACAGTAATAATTCGGCACATAGCCCCAAGAAAAAAGCACTGCATGTTGTTTTTACACAAGATGTAACTTTTTAATTAACAACATTTCGAGGCGCTGCTGTATGGATTTTTTATTTTTTTTTAACTTAAACTGGCTGCTGGCTTCATAGTCAGCCTACAGATATCAATCTTCTCGTCTAACTCAGCAAAAAAAAAAAATATTTCCCAAAACAACACAGCTTTTCTATAACAGCCACCAGAAAATAGTATTTTTTGTGGCCATGATATTTTCTTTGTCTGATAGACTCCTGAAAATACGACACTTAATTATTTTGTTTAATAATATGGTTTTGTACATTATGACTCCTGAATTTATTATTTCCAACAAGCAAATAAACGTGGTTAGCTCCACAGACAGTTCAACGTCAGAATACACACAGGTTTAAGCTTTACATTTGATAAATCGTATCTTGAAGTGAGACATGAAGGGTTTCCAGTTGTCTTTTTCTTGCGGTGATAGAAATAAAAATACCTGCATCAGGACAGATTGGATGCAAAGTTCTGACATTTTGGCGGCGTGGCAGAGGTGAAGGCTGATAGCGGGAACCTCCTGGTGGTTTCAGCACATCACGAAAGAGGAGGAGGAGGAGGAGGAGAAGGAGGAGGAGGAGGAAGACAGGGTGATTCATCACAGCTGGAGGAAAACACCTGCTCCCTAACACACACGTACATGTGGGCATTGCAGACACACTTTTTTTTAAGGATCTTTTAACCCATCAACCTATAAATGCTTTTCCCCTGTTGTTTCCCATCCCACACACAAACACGCCTAATGTGAATCATCATGCACATCACTGTTGTGATTTGCATCGTAAAAAAAAAAAACCTATTTAGAAGAATGGAACACCTGTAATTTTCCTTTATAATCTCCCAATAAGTACAGTATGTTTAATTAAAGCCGTGGTGTCAGTCATCATTTTAACATATTATGACCAGATCTGGATACCAACTGCTGCAGTTTTTAATGGATTTCACTCCATAATTAGTGTGCAGGGTAAATGGCAGGAAAAAAAGCTTTTGTTTTATCCATATTTTTTTTGTACTTCCTAACGTCAATAATAAACTATAATTATGTAAAAAAAAACATTATATAAAACATTTATCCACAATTCAGCTTTTTTTTCAAAGCTCTAAATACTATTGGGTTATAAATTTTATACATGATTGACATGACTACAGATTTAATTTAATTTACTTTAAATTTGTTACAAATTTAAAGTGCTGTCCTCAAAGAGTTTCTGCATGTATCCTGGTTCTTATTCCTGTGGGGAGAATTTTAAATTCATTGGCTCTTACTGGTGGTATTCTCCTCAGGCAACTTTATTGTCTATTAGATTTATGTACAACAGGTGCCCCTTCTTCTCTTTCTTTTGCCCCCGTGGATTCACCAATGTATGTCAGTGTGGAAGGATCGCTGGAGAAG